AACAAGTGCTCCCAGCATGTCATCAGCACTACTAAGAAAACAGTACATCCTCTACAACTCGTACAAAATGCATCAGCATCCTAACCAAAACAACACAGAGAGATCAGATCACTTCTGTCTTAAAAGACCTGCACTGACTGCCTGTATCGTTCAGGATAGAGTTTAAAGCTTTGCTGCTGGTTTTTAAAGCTCTGAATGACCTTAAAGCTCCTGAACGTCTGTTTATGATCTCAGATCTGCAGATTCTGACCTTCTGAACACCTTCAGTAAACACAGAAAACGTGGAGAGACTCTTTCAGTTATTCTGCTTCTAAACTGTGGAGCTCAGTCCACCTTTTATTAGCCAGTCAAGCTCAGAGCTCACTTTTAATGAACATCTGAAAACGCAGCTCTTTAACTCAGAGCTTCATTAAAACTCGGCATCTCGTGGTGTTTATCTTTTAATCTGATCTGTTTCATTTTCTTATATGAGTCTAAATTAATACAAGGAACCTACAGCGGCATGTTTATCATAGTCCAGGTTTGCAGTCCATTTAAAGTCTCTGTCAACCTTGTTGATGGTCGTCCTCCTCATTTACCTTCAAACAGAACATCTTTGGCTCAGATCTCCTTAAAATGCTGACCAATCTCTCTGAATTTTGGTGGGAGGCCGTGTCTAGGAAATGTGGTGATGTGGCCAGAAGCTCACGCTGCTTTACCCTCTTTAACAGCGTAAAAAGTCCATGTTAAAATGTGCCCTGCAATAGGTTGTTCCCTGCACTCCCCTATTTTGATCTCCTCCTGGTGGCTCTAATAGAGCACTGCAGATAAACAGCTCACAGTGAGATCCAGCCAGGCTGAAGTGCAGCCTCCACACGGCAGGGTTAGTTTAACACACTGACAGCTAAGACCCCCAGAGTAAACAATCAGAGACTCCATATCCACAAATATACATTCAAAACACGTCTTTTTTGGATGTTTTTACGCACAGATAAACGTACGTCTACCTATTATAGATGATTTAATTCTGATGAAAATATTTTTATGTATTTTAGGTGGGAAAGCTCATCTGGTTCCAACAGCACTGTATTATCTTGTGTTTTCATACTTGTTTTACTACACTTTTAGCAGCTATTACGACTCGCCCCTCAGTCTGTTACAGTTAACCTGCCCTGTGGGGTAAGTTATAACATGTTCGCTGCTGTAGGAACAAAACCTCGTATCTCCATTTTTGTCGTTTTTCAGTTTTTGGCATTATTTTTAAAATGCCTGTTGCTCTTTACATTGTATGTAAATTTTATGATAAAGGGACCAAAGGAAATGACCCAAAATTACTTGGACAAAACGTCTGGTTCCATTGACTTACATTAAAAGTAAAGTACGTTTCCGTTTTGGAGATACGAGGTTTTGTTCCAACAGCAGCGACATGCAGTGCTGGAAACAAAGTCGATGATTTAGTCTGTAGCAGAGACGTGTACGCTGCCTGTATGACAACATTATTAATCTAGCTCAAATACTTTTACAGCTATTAAGCAAAAGCCGTTCAGCTGTGCTGCTCTCTCCAGCTTCAAATGCAGATATTTCTGCTCTTTGCTGTAATAATATCTACTACAGAGTTTTTTGAGCCACTGTTAATAAAAATAAAAATAGTAGACTTCGAGAAAAAAAGTCGGACCATTTCGAGAAAAAGGTCATAGAATTATGACATTAAAGTGACATTAACACCAGGAAAGGTCAATATTGTGTCCAAAGGCTTTGCAAGTGAAGCAGCCCCTCCTCGTGTTAAATGAGGGGCGGTGAGTTGGTGGAGTTCTACTTTCATATCGATTCACCCATAAAGAAACACTCAGTCTCCCTGTCTCTCCTGCACATCAGCACCAGCCTGTTATTAGGATAAGAACCGGCTGAAACGGCTGAGCAGGAAACTGTGTTCATCTAGAATAAAGAGCCAGACGGACTCGGAGGAAACTGTCTGTCTGTGTTGTTGAAGGAGAATCTCAGGCAGGGTCGTCTACACGGCTATCAGGGGCTCCATCTCCCCCCATTCAAAGAGGGCATGAAGTTTCACAGACAGTGAGAATGATGATCAAAATGATCCACAGAGAGACAGGAGTGAGTGGAGCTCCGGCGCCAGTACAGCAACCGAGACCCCAACGCGTTATGGCGGCCCCCCTACAGTACAGCAACCGAGACCCCAACGCGTTATGGCCGCCCCCCTACAGTACAGCAACCGAGACCCCAACGCGTTATGGCAGCCCCCCTACAGTACAGCAACCGAGACCCCAACGCGTTATGGCAGCCCCCCTACAGTACAGCAACCGAGACCCCAACGCGTTATGGCAGCCCCCCTACAGTACAGCAACGAGACCCCAACGCGTTATGGCAGCCCCCCTACAGTACAGCAACCGAGACCCCAACGCGTTATGGCAGCCCCCCCTACAGTACAGCAACCGAGACCCCAACACGTTATGGCAGCCCCCCCTACAGTACAGCAACCGAGACCCCAACGCGTTATGGCAGCCCCCCTACAGTACAGCAACCGAGACCCCAAAGCGTTATGGCAGCCCCCCTACAGTACAGCAACCGAGACCCCAACGCGTTATGGCAGCCCCCCTACAGTACAGCAACCGAGACCCCAACGCGTTATGGCAGCCCCCCTACAGTACAGCAACGAGACCCCAACGCGTTATGGCAGCCCCCCCTACAGTACAGCAACCGAGACCCCAACACGTTATGGCAGCCCCCCCCTACAGTACAGCAACCGAGACCCCAACACGTTATGGCAGCCCCCCCTACAGTTAGCCCACTTTATCCTCCAAATATTGCAACTTTTTTTCTCGAAATATTACGACTTTATTCTCGAAGTCCACTATTTTCATTTTAATCAACAGTGGCCCTAAAACGCCGTCGTACATATCCCAGAAACAGAAGCCGTGAGGTTGTTTAATGTGCTTCTCTCTGACGGATTATCAACTGACACACCTGTAAAATGACTCGAATACATTGAGCCTAAGCTGAAACTGTCACTGCCTGTTTCTACCTGCTAAGAATTTATGCTCCATTAGTTGACTCATATTATCAACATTCATCTTCCGCTGTTCTCACTCAGAGCGAGAGTCACATAAACTCAGCTAATCTTTTTCCAAATCATAAACTGAGACTGAAACACCATTTAACACTGAACTTTTACATATTTAAGAGAAAATGAAAGTGTCAGAGAACCTGTAGACCTGCGTACAGCCACTCATACAGAAAAAGTGACCCATAAATGACCCCTCAATTGTTCTGTCCTCCTCTAAACATTGCCTGATGTCAAAATCAGTCCGGTGGATGTGTCAGTTCACTCTGTTTGCTCTTAATCTGGACCAGATCCGGTACAGAAACCTCAATTTTGTCTGAATCACAGTACCAACTAAATCATGACACAGTTTTTCGATGCGTCTGTTTGATTCAGCTCTGATCTGAATCAGAGAAGAAACTAGGACAGAGAAATTGGGTGTTAACTGTAAAGTATGGTAGTGATGATGACCAAAATTGGCCCAGTTAGTCTGTAGATGCTCACGTTGGCTTGAATCATCATTCAAACCAAACCCCGGTCAGTTTACTGTAACTTCAAACATAATGAAATGGTTAAGATGTAAACAGAGCGGTTCAGAGTGGTTTGGTGTGAAACGCTCTGTTATAGAGAAACTTACTGAGTCAGAACTGTTCACAGTGGTGGTGATAGGAACCAGACGTCCACCTCTAAAAGCTCCCTCACAGAAAGTTACTACATGAACTGGTTATGAATTCACTGCCTGATGACTGAGACACTGTTTTATGATAGTTTTGAAAAGATTCTTGCCATATTTTAAAACTCCATTCACAGTAGAGGAGTACATGCAGGGCGCTGTGAGGCAAAATAGTCCCCAAAGAAAACTTATTATGTCAGATTTTCCACTATTTTCCATCATCAACATTCCATATAAACTCAGAAGACTCATGTAGGTTCACTGCTGGTTCTGGATAGTAAATAAAATGTCTTTATTTGTGTTGTAGTCATGGCGACCCCTAGTTCCTATCACCACCACTGTAAAGACATCTGAACCATTTCACACCAAACCCACTCTGAATCACTCTGTTTTGGTGGAATTCCCCTTTGACCTCAACCCTAAACCCGAAATCTTAATCCTAAACCCTAAATTTAACCCTCATGTGGTGTTGATGTGTGTGTTACTCAGTTGTCTGGTGACCCACCGCATTATTGTTTATTTATATCAATACAGTCATAACAATTAATGTAAAAATACCAGATGTTTAAAATATCACAGGTGTCCAGTGTAGGGTTCTCCTTTAGCAGCTGTAGCCAGTCAGCAGCCTGTCCATGTTGTCCACCCTCACATACACACACACACACACACACACACACACACACACACACACACACACACACTAACAGCAGGCCATGTAGGAGGAGAACAGAGTGAAGGACCCAGCACCTCCACACTTTTGCTTCCCGCAGGTTCACCCAACACCACATGTGTAATATAAACATGTGGGGGGTGAACAGAGTGAAGACACTGAAAATGGGTTATTTTATATGTTCTTCACAGAAAATGAGCAAAGACCAAGAATCTGAGGCTGAAATAATAATAAATCGCATCATTTATTTATTTTGGTAAAGACTGAAAATGGGTCCCACAGACCCCAACTCTAACCTTAATCTCAACCCCGAGCCTGAACCTAATCCCAACCCCAACACTAACCCCAGCACTGTTTATAATCCAGAGGAACACCAGATAAGCTGACTCTTTGGGCATTTTGGTGAGCATCAAAATAAATGTGAAATTTCCTGAGCAGGAATGTTGAATCACTGGTTCTCTGGTCCGGTTTTCTTTCTGAGAGAAAAAAAAACGTTGTGTATCACGCAGCTAGCAGGCCACATGCGCCCGCCACTCTCCCTCAGCACTCCACCAACCACAGCACCGCCTGGAAATATAAGGAGGGGCTACTTAAGCGGGTAGAAAAACACAGCTCACTTTCACATCCACAGAGGAAGCCTAACCCAGCGGGAGCTCTGATCAGGCGCAGAGGTGAGATGATCTTTCGTTGTATTATTATTATTATTATTATTATTATTATTATTATTATATTATCTTAATCTCTGAGTTTACTGAGGGGGATCTCTCCTGAACGGTTCTGCACAAAGAGCAGCAGCTCTAACTGCTCGACTCACGGTGGTTTGATGTGCTGTATTTAAAGTGGTTTCATGCTTGGTGTTCTGTGCTGCCTGTTAAAGGTTTGTGGGCATCCTGAGCTTCTCAATGCTGCAAAAGCTGTTCATAAATTTTACAAATTTACATATTTCAAGATTTCTTGAAATGTGTAATAGTCTCTAGTTATTTACATCACCCTAATATCTTGAAACTAGTCAGAAAATATGTACCTACAGCCTTTTAAAAGTGATATATCGCTGCTGTCAGAAGAAAACCTTGTATCTCCATTTTTGTCATTTTTCAGTTTTTGACATAATTCGAAAATGCCTGTTGTTCTTTACATTGCTTGTAAATTGGACTAAAAGAAATGGCCCAAAATGACTTGGAAAAAATTCTGGTTCCATTGACTTACATTAAAAGTGAAGTGTGTTTTTTCCTTCTCCTGTAAAGTTACCATTTTGGAGATATGAGGTTTTGGTCCGACAGCAGCGATAAGCACAATAATAATACACTGTGTTAGTTTAAGCCTTTCTCTCATTGAAGTTTCGCTGTATTGCTGGTAATCAGAGACTCGAAATTTGTGCTTCACACCCAAATGAAGTCATCTTGAATTGAGTCTGCTCACCATACAGAAAATCTTCTGTAATTTCTGTAAACACCACAGATACAACAAGCCATTTGCAAAAATGCAGCTTCTGAGAATTTTGGCACTACAAAGACTTTCCAATAACATCACACAGCATCTCATAACCCTTGAAGTTAAGCGTGGAGTGTAAGAAGAAGCTACATCCAAAAAACAAGTGAAAAGCCCTGATTTAATATCGTCTACTGACCCATCAACCCGATCAGAGAGCCTTTATGTTTGTTTTGTGCATAAATACGGTCTCATTTCTAAGAGAGACTGATAAAGGAACCTGTTGTTAAAGTAAACAATAATCTCATTCGCAGTGTTTGGTAAGAGGATTTATTGCTTTGATAGTTTGATGGTTTCACTTGCTAAGATTTTTGCTGTGAAACTATTTTTAACACAAATTAGCATTTTTTGCTTGTGGGTTTGCAATAACTTATAACTTAAACCGTATTAAAGTCAAGCAGGTTATTTAGACTAAAACAATATCATGAGTTAATATTATTGATCATATTAGTGACTTTGGTGGGAAAAAGAAGCCAAAGCCCACACAATGTGTCTCCTTGTTATGACGTCAGCGCTCATCAACACTCCAACCTCTCAGGTGTTCAAACCACCTTTGGGCCAAAAGAGTTTAATATTTTAACAATAGATCAGAAAAGAAAACTGTCAAATCATTATAAATATACATAAATTACAAAACTATATTTTTTCCATGTTAGCTTGTGGCTAGTGTGTTAGCTTCTTGGGGCATATCTGCTTGTGTGGTACCACTTTAGAATAAGACTATCCTTATGATGGGTTTATACAACACTTTCAAATTAATTTACTAATGTTTATTACACGTCATGGGTATTAATTGGGTCATAAACACCTTAAAAACCATCAATAAGCACTTATAAGATAAAAGAAAGGACATAATCTGATAAATATGAATATGTGATGAAGCTGACAGTCCTAAAACTCAATTTCTGCCTGTTTCTGAGCTACTTTAGTGTTTTGCCAGAAACTGAATTGTTGTCTTTGTAGGCGAGCAAGCAGGTCAACATTATAAGAGTGTATTTATTGTGTTAAATAAAAAAAAGACTGTTTGTTTTTTTGTGTGAAGAAAGCTAAAGTCTGTTTTATCTTGGCACGGTCGTCTTTGTGGAGAGGTGTGAATAGTTTTTCACAGCAGGGGGTTCTAACCCCTCCATTTCACCCCTCATTGCTCACTAGCAGCTCAACACAGAGTCACAACATTTCACAGAGAGACGACAGAGTCCTAGTTAATCTGATAACAGAGATACGGGAAAAATATTGAATTTGACAACATTATTTTAATGAATGCCACTAGGGGCACCTTTATTTGGTGTCAGAGCTTGCGTTTGACTGACTCACTGCACCGTCCACTCTGTGCGTCCTCTCTTTTTACAGGCTGTCCACTTCAGCTGTGAGATAAGAGGTCACTGTATCGTGGGTCAGGATGAGTGCTGTGCTGCCGTTCATCTGTATGTTTCTGGTGCTACAGATGGTCACACACTGCACAGCGGTGAGCAGGACCTGTACAGTCCTACTGCAGCTCCTCTGATGACCATACACATGGCCGAATTTAAACCACAAAATCTCTGCTTCTTTCTACAGAATGGACCCGGGAGAGGGAGGCAGCTGTTCTCCAGAATATTGGAAAACTCAAAAGGTGCAGAAACTTTTTCACAAACTCTGTCTGGCTGTTTGTTTTTCTGCTGTAAAGAAAAAGTTTGGCGAAAAAATCAAATGTACTCAAAAATATTCTCCCCTCACCCCGAATGTCTGTGTTGATCAGCCAAGACATGTTTGCCTCTTTAGTTTTAGCACCGGAGCTACGAGGCTAATGTAGCTAACAAGTAAAAGTAGCCTATTAGCAATTAGCATGGTGCTAACTGCATGTCTCAGACCGTGTGGAGTTGCTCAGTAAACTCTAATATACTTGATTTTGTGGTTTCTGACACTATGAGTGTGTTTACATGCTCTCAATAATCCGATCATAATCGGATTTCTGCAGTTATCTGATTATTCAAATGATCATGTAAACAGCACATGCTGATTTCTTAGATCGGAGTAAGGTCTAGAAATCTGATTAAGAGGTAATCAGATTTCTCAGTGCATGTGAACTCTTACTCTGATTTCTTTCGGATTTCTCAGTCAGAGCATGTGTGAAATCAGACTGCATTACCGGAAACGTCGTCTTCTGTGAGTTTATTAGCTGGCTGTAAAGCAAAAATCGGATTACTGTCTGATTAATGTAGACCTGGAGTTTCACCATTATCTGATTACTCAGATTACTGACAAAATCTAATTTTCTGCAGTTATCAGATTATTAAGTACATGTGAACACACATGTTGGACACTGTGATCTGTAAACATGGACTAAAGTCCATCACATAGCTAAAAATATAAGTCGCTACATTGGAGCTTAAATTGTGTACATTTGTATGTTATGGCCAGTCCAGACCACTTTGCTCAGCTACGGCAGGCTTAGTATCTCCTACAGCTCATTAGGTGGAAGGTCATTTTCTTAAATAGCTCCTAAACTTTGGAATAGCGTTCCAGAGAATATTAGCAGTGCACACTTCATAGGTGTTTCAAATCCAAATTTAAGTATATTTGTTCAGGCTGGCACATGCCAAACAGTACAGGGTGGTTCAAAAAGATTCGTCTGATTTCAAAATGATTTATTTCTCTTGTAAATCATTACAGATCAATGCAGTAAACTGTAAATGGTTTAAATGAGCATAAAGTTTATTATGTAATTGTTCAAGGTCTCAGTCTGAACCTCCTCCAGCTGTACAGACAACATCAACGCCACAGTCAAACTCATCCCATACTGGATTGAGCATGTCGGGTGTCGGTGCACTCACGGCTCTTTCAGTGCGATTTCGGAGATCATCCAGTGTTGTGGAACCAACGCCGAACGCTCTGAGCTGCTGGAGCTTCACTGCCCACGAAAATCACACTGCACAGTTATGACGGATTCACTCTTATTGAAGTGGAGAACGCAGAACGCTTTCTGCTCAGGGGTCTCATCTCCTCTCAGACTGAAGGAAGCCATCTTCCACCGACAGTCAGAAACTCTATGACCCCCTCTTTCAATTGGATTGTGATTGGTTCCTCGGCGCCTCACAGTTGTAAAAATATGGCACTTTGAATTCAGACTAATCTTTTTGAATCACCTTGGATTGTGGCTCATTTCCCCTGTTTGTTGCTATTATTATTAGCATTAATTTCAGCTTGTTTTAGTGATAACATGCCTAACAGTACTTGTCAGCGCAGATGCGCCAGTCATGCCTTTTTACAGCCAATTCTGATTCTGATTGGCTGTTTTTTAGCACACTTTATTGATTTACCTGCTAAAACACACAAGATTACACCTATCTGGTAATTGCTTGGGTTAGTGGGTGTGTTTGAGAGGGAAAACCACCAAACTGCCCTGGACACTGCCCTTCTGGGACCAGAGCTGGGCACCCCTTGGCCAAAGGAACAAATAAAACCCATTTAAGCCTTTTTTCTGTTAGCCAAAATTGCAATATAAATAACATGGTCTGGTATTTAGGCATGAATGAAAAATCTTATTTAAGTAACATGAAACAAATGAAGTGCTACATTTAAAGCAAGAGGTGTCCGACTATTTAGCACAGAGCATAATGTATGATTATGCTACATCACAAAGCCAATTAAATAAATACATGAATATTGCAAATTGCTTGTTTGGCCAAATCTAGTGTTGCATCTTCTTGTCAGACACATGAGCCTCGTAGAGCCGGTGCAAAACTAAAGAAGCAAACTTGAGACACCAAATGTGTCTTTGCAGATTGACTACGTTTGGGTAAATATACATTTTTATTTGTTATCGAACTATCACTTTAAATTTTCCCCATCTGGTGAAATATGGGTCATATGGATGGAGGAGCTGGTAATGATTATGTATGATCTGTTTTGTCTCTGTTTATGCGTCTGGATATGTAGGCGTGATTGTGTTTATGAAGTTCTGGTTGTGTATATCTGATTGTGGCTTTGTTTACATGTTTTGTGTGTGTGTGTGTGTGTGTGTGTGTGTGTGTGTGTGTGTGTGTGTGCACGTAGTTACGCATTGTCTGAACGGGGGCACATCGGTCTCCGCTCTCTTCACAGGACAGCACATGTGTTGTTTGTGTCCTGATGGCTTCAGTGGCTCCAGCTGTGAGATCGGTACTCAACTCATTTATACTCTCTCATCATGTTCATTAAAGCAAAAGTTTGTCGGAAAATCAAGAAAATAGTTTCACTGGAGTTATGAGGCTGATGTAGCTTCATAGCAATTAGCATGGTGCTAACTGCAGGCCTAAATCATCACACACTCACCTCAAACCAACTGGAGATGTTCAGTATCTCTGAGTCTTGATGATGTGGATTCTGACGCTGTATGACTCACTGTTACCTATAAACATGGACTAAAGCACTTAACATAGCTACAAACATTAGCAGCCCCCTAAATTTCTCTCTGTTCTCATTGTGTGTTGTATTTGTTCTGTTGTGTATGTCTGTAGATGACACTGAGTCCTGTATCGTTGGTATGGGTCTGCGGTACCGAGGCCCTGTGGCTCAGACGGTGAGTGGGCGAGAATGTATGGAATGGGATCCGGAAAGCAGCTGGAGTGTGTTTGGTTCAGACAGCAGGACTTTGGGTCTGGGACGACACAACCGCTGCAGGCAAGTCGCTCACACTGTGTGAGCTGCACTGTAACAGACTGGTTTCTCTCAGTAACAGACCTCTGTAGTCAGTGTCATGCCATGTTAGGAGTCCTCAGTATAAGCCCTTTTCATCTACACACTGTGGACAAAAGTATTGGGACACACCTCTTAATCATTGAATTCAGGTGTTTCATTCAGTCTCATTGCCACAGATGTATAAAATCAAGCAGCTAGCCATGCAGCCTGCCTTTACACACATTAGTGAACGAATGGGTCTGAGGAGCTCACTGAAGCGTGGTGCTGTAATAGGATGCCACTGACGCAACAAGTCAGTTCGTGAAATTTCTTTCCTCCTAGATTTTCCACGATCAACTGTGAGTGGTATTGTTGAAAAGTGGAAGCGTTTAGGAATGACAGCAACTCAGCCACGAAGTGTCAGACCATGTAAAGTTACAGACCAGGTCGCCGAGTGCTGAGGAGCACAGAGCATAAAGTTCCAAACCTCCTCAGGCATCAACATCAGCCCAAAAACTGAGCCTCGGGAGCTTCATGGCAGGGTTTCCATGGCCGAGCAAGCCTTACATCACCAACCACAATACCAAGCGTCGGATGGAGTGGAGTAAAGCGACTGGACTCAGCAGTGGAAACGTATTCTGTGGAGTGATGAATCAGCTTCTCTATCGGTCAGTCTGATGGACGAGTCTGGGTTTGGCGAATGCCAGGAGAACGTTACCTGCCTGACTGCACTGTGCCAGCTGTAAAGTTTGGTGGAGGAGGGATGATGATATGGGGCTGTTTTTCAGGGGTTGGTCTAGAACCCTTAGTTCCAGTGAAGGGAAATCTTAATGCTTCAGTAGAACCAAGACATTCTGGACAACTGTACACTTCCAACTTTGTGTGAACAGCTTGGGGAAGAACCTTTCCTGTTCCAGCATTACTGAGCCCCACTGACCAAAGCAGCTCCATAAAGGCCTGACTGGGTGAGTCTGGTGTGGAAGAACTTGACTGGCTCTCACAGAGCCCTGACCTGAACCCCATCCAACACCTTTGGGATGAACTAGAACGTAGATTGTGAGCCAGACCCTCTCGGGATCATAAAAGCAAGTGTTGGTGTGATGTGTAGGCGTCCCAATACTTTTGTCTATATAGTGTATGAGAGAAGTGAATGAATCACCTCCATCGCACCCTGCTGTAAACAAAAGTGATTTAAACCCGAAACAGTTTGTCCTGCACACATTTTCCCTCCGAGTGTCGCTGGATCTTCTGGACTATGAGGTCGTTTAGCACCTCATACAAAAATATGAATAATGCTACATACATGCTACAAGTGAGTTATAAGGTCCATATCCTACATTTTTGGGCTTATGACATTATGTTTTTGTTTATGTACCTTTAAGACTTACATTATATGGCCAAAAGTATGTGGACAACTGACCATTACACCTACATGAGCTTGTTGGACATGAGCTGCATACTACCCTTTCACCCTGTTCTTAAGTGGTCAGGACCCCCATGGACCCTCACAGAGCAGGTACTATTTGGGTGGTGGATCATTCTCAGCACTGCAGTAACACTGACGTGGTGGTGGTGTGTTAGTGTGTGTTGTGCTGGTACGACTGGATCAGACACAGCAGTGCTGCTGGAGTTTTTAAACACTGTGTCCACTCACTGTCCACTCTATTAGACACTCCTACCTTGTCAGTCCACCTTGTAGATGTGCACAGTTTGTGTTGGTCATCCTCTAGTCCTTCATCAGTGGTCACAGGACGCTGCCCACAGGACGCTGTTGGCTGGATATTTTTGGTTGGTGGACTATTCTCAGTCCAGCAGTGACACTGAGGTGTTTAAAAACTCCAGCAGCACTGCTGTGTCTGATCCACTCAGACCAGCACAACACACACTAACACACCACCACCACGTCAGTGTTACTGCAGTGCTGAGAATGATCCACCACCCAAGTAGTACCTGTTCTGTGAGGGTCCATGGGGGTCCTGACCACTGAGGAACAGGGTAAAAGGGGGCTAACAAAGTATCAGAGAAACAGATGGACTACAGTCTGTAACTGTAGAACTACAAAGTGCACCTATACAGTAAGTGGAGCTGATAAAATGGACAATGAGCGTAGAAACAAGGAGGTGGTCAGAATGTTATGCCTGATCAGTGTTTATATATGATATATATATATATATATATATATATATATATATATATATATATAAGCAGGTGTTTTTATTTCCACAGAAACCCAAACTACAGCAGGAAGCCCTGGTGCTTCGTACAGGGGAATTACGGTAGAGTTAAAGAGTACTGCAATATTCCACACTGCAGCAGAGGGCCTGGTGAGAATCCCTCCATCCCTCCATTCTTTCCTTTTTCTCCTCCATCCCTCTATTTTCTACCTCTGTTCCTGCATTCTCTCCAGTATCTACCTCCATATCCCTCGATCCCATTATCTCCACATCCTTCCGTTCTCTCTATCCCTCCATTCTGTCCATCCCTCCTCCCCTTCAGTCTCTCTATCTTCTCAATCCCTCTGTCCCTCCATCCACTTATTCCTCCATTCTCTACCTCCATCCCTGCATTCTCTCCTTCCATCCATCCATTCTTTATCTCATCCCTGCATTATCTACTTCTGTCACTGCCTCCTCTCCATTCTCTACCTCCATCCCTCCATCCTCTACCTCTATTCCTCCATTCTGTCCATTCTTTACAGCTATCCCTTTATTCTCTACCTCCATCCATGCATTCCCTCCATTCTCTGCCTCCATCCCTGCATTCTCTCCATTCTTTACCTCCATGTCCCTCCATCCCACAGTCCCTCCTTTTCTCTATTCTTTTTCTCTATTCCATCCCTCCATATATTACATCAACCTGTCTTGTCTGTCTGTTTCAGCACTAATAACTCTCTCTCTCTCTCTCTCTCTCTCTCTCTCTCTCTCTCTCTCTCTCTCTCTCTCTCTCTCTCTCTCTTTTTCTCTCCATCCCTTCACACCCACCAACTCTCAAACCACTGTCTCCCACCAGCAGCCCAGACTCAGGTGAGTTTAGCAGACAAGTGATATCACTTGAGTGAGATGCTCAGTCCAATGTAGTTTAGACTCAAGTTAGATTAAGGTCCAGTCCCATTTCTTATTTTCACCCCTACCCCTTGTTTTCGAGTGCTGCCCCTTGTTACTGAGTTACAGGGTAGTGGTTGAAATCTTCCCTCTGAAATGGGACCCTCAAATAAAAAGAGCATCACTTCATTAACAGCTACCAGCGCTGCTCTGTAGGCGACCCTGCCAGTCTGCAGTGACAGCAGAGGAGGGTAAAGTTCAGCTCCTCACTGCTGGGCTTTAGTTACATTTAGGGCATCATATGATCTTCATATGGGGGGCAATTATTTATTATCACCCACCCCTAATTCTTCAGTGATATGAAGATGAAGATGATATTCTCCAGATTCTTGTTCAAATTTTCCCGTTCCACCTTAAATGGAGCAGCAGTTACATTGCGGTGCTTCAGGCGTCAGAACTGCTGGACTATTACCCTGATAGCAAAGGATAGTGGACCATGGCCCACTGATGGCAAAGCTGGCGTTTTTGCTCAGCGTTTTCTGGGTTTTCCACTCACAGTCTAATTTACTGGTTTTTCCTTCCTTCCTTTTTTAGATATCCTTTGTAAATTAGTTAGGTAAATAATTTTAATCCAGCACAGAGTCAGCAACAACATTTTACATTAAATCATTTTGCATTAGGCCGTCATTATTTTTTTTCTCTCATTTGTTTGTAATATTTGTCCAAGTTTATTTTCTAAAATAAAAGTCTCTGTGTGTTTAAAATCTGTTTGAGGAGATTAAAAACTAGTTCGAGCGTTGTATGCAGGACAGTAATCTGGGTGGTCCGAGGGTGGACCAGCAGTGGCTGATTAAAACACTGGATGTTGACCTTATTAAGCCAGTGGACCAATATATACTTGCTATCTGGGTTAAGGTGGAACAGGAAATTTAGCTAGCTACCGAGACGTCAGCACTACTAGTGATTTTTTTTATGCTTATTATGAAGAAAAGGAGCAAAATACACTGAAACGACATTAAACTCAGATAATATGATGGTTATCTTAATTTTTAACAGAGAAAATTCTCACATTTGTTTGTTTCTTTAAGACTCAGGTGACATTATCTCTCTAAAGAGGTTTAGATTTAGGTCAAATTAGATCTTGGGTGAGATTATCACGTCAATAAAGTTTAGTCTTTGGGTGAGATTAAGACTCAACTGAGATTATCAGACCAATTGTTTTTAGATTTAGGTGGGATTAAGATTTAGGTGAGATTATCACTCCCATCAAGACACATTAAGACTCTGTTGAGATAATCACTCCAGTGTAGTTTAGACTCAAGTGAGATTATCGCTCCAGTGAAATTTAGGCTGTGGTGAGATTAGCAGATGCTCGTGAATTTAGCTGGTGAGATTAAGGCTGAAGTGAGAGGCTCAAGTGAGATTATCGCTCTAGTGAGGTTGAGGCTGTGGTGAGATTAAGGCTGAAGTGAGATTATCGCTCCAGTGAGGTTTAGGCTGTGGTGGGATTAAGGCTCAAGTAAGATTATTACTCCAATAAATTTTAAACTCAGGTGAGATTAAGGGTCAAGTGAGATTATCATTCCAATTGGTTTTAGCCTCCAAGTGAGATTAAGAGGTTCAGGTTTAAGAGGTTTAGATTCTTGTGAGATTAAGACTTTAGTGAGATTATCACTAAAGTCTCAGTCTCACTAAAATCTTAATCTCACTTGAGTCTACACCTCATTGGAGCGATAATCTCAGTAAAATCCTAATCTAATGCCTTAAACTAAAGTCCTAAAGACTAGTGAGGTTTAGACTGCAGGGCAGATTAAGACTCCAGTCAGATTATCACTCCAATAAAGTTTAGACTCAGGTGACACTAAGACTCATTAAGACTCAGGTGAATTCATTGCTCCAATGAGGTTTTGATTTAGGCGAGATTAAGACTTCTTCTATAGGATTTAGCCGCAGGTGAGATTAAGTCTCAGTCTCTGTATTTGTGGTGTAAGTGTGTTGTTGCTGTTGAAGGCTGGCGTTGTGGTGCGCGTCCTGCACTGAGGTTCAAGATCGTGGGCGGCTCTCTGAGCGCAGTGGAGTCTCACCCCTGGATGGCCACAGTGTTCTGGAGGTCATCGAGTCAGCACAGAGTGTTCCGCTGTGCTGGGAGCCTCATCGCCCCCTGCTGGGTTCTCACTGCAGCGCACTGCTTTCCTGACGGGTAGGAGCCAAACTTCATGTTTTAATATGCATCAAAATACAACAGCGTGTATAATTTTATGTGTTTTTCTGATGTTATTTACATTGTTAATGTTCGCCAATTTGCTGACCTGTTATATTTTTGGTATCTTCAGAAAATTTTCCTGAGTTGTACATAATATGTGTACATAAATGTATATTCTGCAACAGTTACAGATGGTCTTTTTGATGACAGCGTAATGGTAAACAAGTCAGAATTTCGGGAATAGAAATAGTTTCCGGCTGTGAGTTCACTTTAGGTCGTGAGCTTCTACAGTTGGATACAGAAGTGTGAATACTTCCAATCAAATTACACGTTTTAATGATTTTTCTGCACATTTTTTATTAGAACAAACAAAAAATTGTAAAATATAAAATCTGACGCAACTTTCCGAAATGGATATATAAGTATATTTTTGCAATGTATTAAAATGGCCAAAAAAATTATTTACTAAGCATATTTTTAAAATGCATTTATTTGTTTTTGTAATTTTTTTCAATTGTTTGTAGTTTTAATAAAGGTTACAGAAATGACTAAATATGAATGGACTGAACTGACTTTACATTAACCATGTACGTCTGCAGTGAGACTCTCACACACAGTGTATTTCATATAAATAAGATAAATCATAACTGCATTTTCACAGAGTATCAATACCCACAACACTCGCTTCTGTCATGTTAAAGGATCATTTGATCATATTTAAAATGAAGATACTGGAACACAAATTCATTTCTAAAGGTATCAGACAGTGAAGTGTATCTGATGTACCTGATAAACATATTTACGTACAGTTATTTTTGTATGGTACATTTCGATGTGTAAAATTTGTCTATATGTTTAAAAAATAAATGTATTTTAAAATATATTTGGTTAACATGGCAATATATTCTGAAATACATATTTTAGTGTTTGGAATGTATTTCAAATATATTAAAGTATATGTCCATATATGGTTTTTACATATGGGTTTACACAGACCACATGTTATTCTTTACTAAGAATACAGGGTGATTCAAAAAGATTCATCCAATTTCAAAATGATTGATTTCTCTTGTAAATCATTACAGATCAATGCAGTGAACTGTAAATGGTTTAAATGATCATAAAGTTTATTATGTAATTGTAGAAGGTCTCAGTCTGAACCTCCTCCAGCTGTACAGACAACATCAACACCATAGTCAAACTCATCCCATACTGGATTGAGCGTGTCGGGTGTCGCCGCACTCACGGCTCTTTCAGTGCGGTTTCGGAGATCATCCAGTGTTGTGGAACCAACGCCGAACGCTCTGAGCTGTTGGAGCTTCACTGCCCACGGAAAATCACACTGCACAGTTATGACGGATTCACTCTTATTGAAGTGGAGAACGCAGAACGCTTTCTGCTCAGGGGTCTCATCTCCTCTCAGACTGAAGGAGCCATCTTCCACTGACAGTCAGAAACTCTATCACCCCCTCTTACAATTGGATTGTGATTGGCTCCTAGACGCCTCACGGTTGTAAAAATATGGCGCTTTGAAATCGGATGAATCTTTTCAAATCACCCTGTATATTAAATTCAGCAAATACACAGTAACTGTGCATTAAAATGTACAGAACCTTTGCATATGACTGTATTTATGGTTATTTCTGTAGCTCCTGAAGGCAGCATAAGTATCACTGAGATTACTGCATCGATGGGCTCCTGTGTGCTGTTCAGAGGATTATGGTGCTAATTCTGTTTTTATTTGTATTCTGCAGTGCTGACACTGATGTCTGTAGGCTGTGGGTGGTCCTGGGGAAGACCGCCCTGAATGAAACGGACAAGAGGAAAGAGCAGGAGTTTAGAGTGGTGGAGCTCCACATGCATGAAAACTTCGACAACACTGACGGCAGCTTCAACAACGACATCGGTAACCTCGCCTACACCTCCTCAAGGGTAGAGCAAACCACAGCTGGGGTCATCCATACGTTGACACGGTCCTTTAGTCGCCCACTGAAATTCCTAGGAAACTGCCCCAGCCTTGTGTATGTAAGGGGGGGCACAACCTTATACATTCTGTTTTTTGTTGAATAGTTTTAAAAATATTTAAGTTGGAATAATCATGTTTTCATACAAGCAAACATCAACATTTCTGCTACAAACAGAAACTTGAACTTTGTTTCCAGCTCCTACCGCTCAGTACAATTCCACCCAAAATGAGGGAAGTGCAGTTTTACAGTTTAGCCCATGGGTGGGTTCACTGTAACAGACAGAGGGTCAGTTTAACACCTGCTAGAAAAGTCTAATGAATCAGTGCAAACAAAGTTTATTCAATATATTTCTATGTTATAAGAAACCAATATATTTTCCAACCAAACTGCATTATATATTATCATCTATAAGACAGACAGATCAATTGATAGATACACACATCAGATTATATATGAACACTGATATGAGTCTGTGGGTCAAACAATGACAGATTTATCTTTGTCCAGTGAAGGACAGCAAATAAAAACACCAACATCAGTAAAATATGAACATTCTTTACCAGCTGATAATGACAATTTCAATGTCAATTTGTGTTGGTCATCCTCTAGTCCTTCATCAGTGGTCACAGGACGCTGCCCACAGGACGCTGTTGGCTGGATATTTTTGGTTGGTGGACTATTCTCAGTCCAGCAGTGACACTGAGGTGTTTAAAAACTCCAGCAGCACTGCTGTGTCTGATCCACTCAGACCAGCACAACACACACTAACACACCACCACCACGTCAGAGTTACTGCAGTACTGAGAATGATCCACCACCCAAATAGTACCTGCTCTGTGAGGGTCCATGGGGGTCCTGACCACTGAAGAACAGGGTGAAAGGGGGCTAACAAAGTATCAGAGAAACAGATGGACTACAGTCTGTAACTGTAGAACTACAAAGTGCACCTATATAGTAAGTGGAGCTGATAAAATGGACAATGAGCGTAGAAACAAGGAGGTGGTCAGAATGTTATGCCTGATTGGTGTACTTATAACTATGAACCAAAAAGCATGTGTTCATAAACATAAACAAATAAATGTTTAAGAAATTAAATTGGTAGGGAAGAAAGTACTCATACACTATATTAAAAATATAGGGTATATTTAAAGGTTTAAAATGGAAATAAATCAGGTTTTCACATTAATGATACAAAAATATCAATGTTCTTGTGCAAATTTGACCTTTTGTCATTATAAAAGATGTTTCCATAGTTTGGAAAGATTTTTGGCAGCAAGTAGCGATGATGGTGAAGATGAAGAACCTTCCTAAAGTTCTTAAGAAGAACATTATTGAACAACACTCAAATGAAAATAGCTACAAATGCCTTAAATACCCATCAGCATTAATTATGCAGTAATATGTCACTGTATTACTCACTGTTATGTATAAACATGGAGTACAATATTTTAGCATAGCTAAATACATCTTTAAAGGCAACAATTTGTCATTCACTGTTAGAAATAAAGGTTCTGTTCAGGTACATTTTTCGTTCATCAAGGTACAGACAGTGTAAATGTTCCCTCAAAGCTCCAACAGTGGTTTTAAGGTTTCTCCAGGTGAAAAGTTCGTATTTGTACCTTTTCATAACCGAATGTTTTAAACAGAACAGTAAAATAAAAGCCTGGAGACGAGACGGGGTGTGTGGAGTCAGTACAGCTTAGAACATATCATTTCAGTGGATTATGGTTCAGTTATGTTCCCTGACTAAAGGTACTGAGATGGAGCCTTGAGGGTTCCACCCCAGAGACAAGAGGGGAACTGACCCAGTGACAGTTTAGTACCTTTATTTCTGAGAGTAAAAGAACATGGAAACACCCTAAAACATAGAAATGTGTGTGTGTGCTTAGCATTGCTGAGGATCAGTGGTCCGGATGGTGCCTGTGCGGTGGAGTCCAACTCGGTGAGGACAGTGTGTGTCGCTGCTCCTGATTCCACACTTCCAGATGGAACTTCCTGCGAGATTGCTGGATACGGGAAAGAGCAGCAAGGTACGATCAGAGAACTTGTAGAGAGGAGAATTCCCACTCTGTAATGTATTCCGGGTTTCTCAAACACTAGAGGGCGCTCTTGAGTGAGTCCAAAATGAATGGGTTAAGATAAAATCATCATAGTTTACGAATGCTGAAACATTTTTAATGTAAAATAATACATTCATTTCCTGAACACAGAGCAGCATAAAACATTTTAGCACTGCTGTTATATTTTTAAGAGCTTTTAAACTCGAGTTATAGGAGTTTAAAACGGCGCCTCATGTACGTTCATGATGTCTGTGAGCGCGAACAGCCAATGAGCTGCTCCGCTCGCCAACCAATCAGCACTCAGTAGCAGTAATGTTAGCGTCCTGCTGCCCAAAACCCGTTTGCTGTAGAAAAAGGAAACATACAGGTGAGATTTCTTTGCTTTTTTAGTGAAATCCATCCTTCTACTTTCTAAAATTAAAGGAAAGTTCTGGTTCAGTGATTAGAAACTATTTTAACTTTAGCCATTTAGCTCCATTTACTCCCATTCATTGAGGACTCACTCGTGGGCGCCCTCTGCTGTTTAGCAGTCCTGTTTTTGATGTAACGGGGGAAATAGGAAGAGGCCAGACTCCTTATAAACCGGCTCTGGTACGATCATCTCATTTCCAGCTGCAGGTCATCCAGTCATTTCAATTCAAGGCCTTCAATTCAAGTCATAAGTGTCAAAACTCAGTCTAAACCCACCTCTAAGACAAGGCTAACTTCTGCTAGCATCCCTATAGGTCTCTAGTAGTTTGTGAGCGTTTTTTGTCCATTCTAGATTAAACACAGACATTTGAAGCCTCTAAAAGTCATGCCATGTTTTACTTGAAATTTGTGACAGACTTTTTAGCACATTTGACCTTGTCGCGGTTTCACAGCGGCTCTTTCAGTATTGAGATCTGCAGTGCAAAATATGGTATCTTGTCAAGTGAAATGATCTTAAATCTAGTATATATATCTAATATTTCCCATTTCCAGATTATCTAGCTTATTTCTAGACATTTTTACTTGTTATAGGTAATTTTATCAAGTAAAATTCTCTCACTATACTGCTAGATCATTTTGCTGGTTTCAAGCTCATTTCTTACAACAAGCAAAATTATCTGCCAACATAGTGAGATAATTTTACTTAATAAAATCGCTTAAAACAAGTGAAAAATGCTAGAAATAAGTTAAATAATTTTAAATTAAACTTACATTAGTCTCTACAGGAGAAATATTAGATTATTTGACTGTATCTAAGATAATTTTACATACCAAGATACCATTTTTGCATGTGTGCGTTGCTGCCACTTAGCTGTAGAACCATGAACACTCAAAAACCCTTTGCATGATAAAAGGGTTCTTTGCATCATGAAAGGGTTCTTTAAATTGATGGAGAATGTGCTGTAGGTGGTTCTATAGAGAATCTTTTTGAAAAGGGTTCTATGTAGCCCTAGAATGGTTCTTCTATTGCTACATGCTTGACATCGATATATGACAAGAAACCTTTTGGTGCTATATAGAACCCTTTTCAAAAAGGTTCTATATAGAGCCATCTATAGCACGTTCTCCATCAACCAGAAGAATACGTTCACAGTGCAGAGAACCCTTTAATCATGCAAAGGGTCCTTTGAGTGTTCATGGTTCTACATAGAACTGTTTTCTTTACTGAAAACCCTCGAGGAACCATCATTTTTAAGAGTGTACCTAGATACCACTGAGATAACCAATTCTGGATTGGTCAGTTTTACACTGGGTGTTCCAAGAATTTGACCCGTTTCCATCCTATACTTAACAATGAAACGTGAGCAGGGCTGTGATACTTGCAGAGATTAAATAAATGATTATTTACTTACATTATTTTAATTTTAGTCTTTATTTGTTTATTTTTTATTTTTTGACATTTTCTTTCCCTGCAGTTAACCAGATATCTGTTCATGAACTCTTATGTATGCTCGGACATGCCTACTGCGTATGTTTATTAAGGGTTATAATAAGCTCCCCGGACAAAAAATGAGTCACCTTGCGTGCTTAAGGTGGTAGTAACTTCAGGATCCTGCAGATGGCATTGCACGAGGATGATCAGGCCATAAATACCTGCGGCGTGTGCAGCTGGATGTATAGATTGAGAAAAGGTGGTACAGTACAGTGAATGTTTCACGCGATGTGTGGAAAATGGGTCAAAAAGCAGATGTTAATGATTGGCAAAAAGGAGTGAGTGGATTTGGACAGCAAAGGCCACAGTGTGAAGGAAGTAGCTGAATTTGCAGGTGTACCGAAGCGTATGCTCATACGGGTCGACCAGCAGTGGCAGAAATCCCAGCCTGCAGGAAATCCTTGTCAGAATTGTGGCTGTAAGACGAAACTGACGGACAGAGACCGCCAGCATGTTTCACAGCTTGTGAATAAAAATCGCTTCCAGGCAAGAATCGCTTCTAGAAGTCAATGTAGGTCCTTAACAACCAATTTCTGAAAGAACCTCCACAGGGAACCGCATACCATGTACATCTGGAGCAGAGCAGCACGCAAGAGGCCTTTGCCCACTTCTGCTCACAGAGTTGCCCGGTGAAGGTGGACGAAGAGACACGAACACTGGACTGTTCAGGACTGGAAACGTGTTATCTGGTCAGATGAATCTGGTTTCTGCCTGTATGTGAATGATGCCTTTTGCTCATCATCTCACTGAGGAACATAACATTCCTATCCCTGTATTCCAACATTCTCGCGTTCACAGGGCTGCAAATGGGACTGATTGTCTTGATTCACACATCTGGACCGGCCCGCAAAATCCCCAGATTTGAATCCTCTTGAAAATCTGTGGGACGACCTGGAACAACAAGTAAGACTCCAGGGAAGGATCCATGAAATCTGGCCGACCTGCGCAGTTCTTTGATTCAAGAGTAAAGAAAATAGTTCTACATAGAACCATGAACACTCAAAAACCCTTAAAGGGTTCTTTGCATCATGAAAGTGTTTTTCAGATAGATGTACAATGTGCTGTAGGTGGTTCTATAGAGAATTCTTTTGAAAAGGGTTCTATGTAGCCCCAGAATGGTTCTTCTATTGCTACAGGCTTGACATCAATATATGACAAGAACGCTTTTGGTGCTATATAGACCCCTTTGCAAAAAGGTTCTATATAGAGCCATCTACAGCACGTTCTCCATCAACCAGAAGAATACGTTGTACCCTTGACATTGATGTCACCTACATCTAGAAACTTGTCCAGTCCAGGCTAAATCGATTCACAGCTGTTATTCGTGCTCGTGGAGGTTTTACACGCTATTTTACGTTTCAGTCACAGGTGGCTAATATTTTGTCCGGTGAGCTTATCACTGTAAAGTTATGTGCCTTTACATGTACATGAGCTGTAATTTACAATAATACTCCATACGCATTTCAGGGTTGTGGTATAACTCTCAGTATCTCAGAGAGGGGAAAGTTAACCTGCTGCCACAGGATGTATGTTCCAGCAAGAGTTACTATGGCAACGAGATCACCGAAAACATGCTGTGTGCTGGAGCACCAGACTGGAGTGTGGACGCCTGTAAGGTCAGTCTGTCGAGTCATTTCTACCAGCATCTGTGACCCGTATCATACAGACCTGTAACGGTATCAGAAACCCCTCTCCTGCTGGTGTACAGTTAGAGACTGAAGCTCATCTGATGATGCACAGATTGTGTTAGTCATCCTCTCGTCCACTGGTGTCCAATCTTATCTGCAGAGGGCCGGTATGGCTGCAGGTTTTCATTCCAAACAAGCAGGAGCGCAGCTGATTACACTTGTTTAATCAGTTGGCCAGTCTTCAGAGAACTGACCATGTAAGCTTCTGCTTTATTGAAATGAAAACCTGCCTCCCATAAGATCGGACCCCTCTGGTCTAGTCCTTCATCACTGCTCTGCTGCAGTCCTGTGGTCAGAAACTGACCAATGATGAGTGGGGTCGAAGGGTTGATAAACTGTTTAGGAACCAATGGACTACAGTTGGTAACTGTACACCTACATAGTGGAGCTATAAGGGGGTATTTCCAATAAATGGGCCAGTGAGTGGTAGCACAAGGTAGATGTTTCTAACAAAGTGGCCAGTGAGTGGAACCACAAGATAGGTGTTTCTAACAAAGTGGCCACTGAGTGGAGCCACAAGATAGGTGTTTCTAATAAAGTGGCCACTGAGTGAAAGCACAAGGTGTTCATAATTAAGTGACCAAAGAGTGGAAGGGACAGCAGAAAGATCCTTGAACAATATGCAGAGAAATGCAGAAAACTATCTGATTTGTTTGGATATGAGAGTTCGGAGCATGTGGGACCTTTTCTTAGTCAGCTATGTAGCTAAATTAGCCTGTTCTTTCAACCTACTTGTAAACTAAGACTACACATTGCTATGTAAATGGACTATCCCACTTTTAGGCCCAGTCCCATTTCTTATTTCTACCCCTACCCCTTGTTTTCGAGTGTTGCCCCTTGGAACTGAGTTACAGGGTAGTGGTTGAGATCTTCCCTCTGAAATGGGACCCTCAAATAAAAAGAGCATCACTTCATTAACAGCTACCAGCGCTGCTCTGTAGGCGACCCTGCCAGTCTGCAGTGACAGCAGAGGAGGGTAAAGTTCAGCTCCTCACTGCTGGGCTTTAGTTACATTTAGGGAATCATATGCCTTCAAAGAGGGGGGGCTGTAATGAATGTAACTACTGCACCCTTTAAGGTGGAACGGCAAATTTAGCTAGCTACAGAGACATCAGCATAATAGTAGAGATCACTCTGTTTGGAGTCTCTGAAAATCCTCCGTTTGGAGGGTCATGTAGCCCTAACACTTTGCCCTACCCCTCTATCTCAACAAGAATAGGGACACCCTACCCCTAGACGTGACAGAGGGGTAGGGCTAAGTGGGCCCAAGTCTGGTTAATTAACTTATTAATCTTATAACTAACAGGGGTGTTTGTGGTGGAGTCATTGCAGTTGTAGTGGGCTGGTCTAGATGAAAGTTCATGGCTAGTTTAGTTCCCAGTCCAGCCCTCTGTACACCTATATAGTGGACCTTCAGCATTAAGCTATAGCCAAGGAAATGGAGACACCTCAGAGGTACAGGAAGTTGACTGATGAACTCTTTGTTTGATGCAGGGGGACTCTGGTGGTCCGTTGGTGTGCAGTGTGAATGATAGCCTGTTCCTGTACGGAGTGGTGAGTTGGGGTGAAGGATGTTCCAGAGAGTTCCGACCTGGAGTTTATACAAGAGTCTCTAAATACCACCACTGGATCCTGCAGAAAACGGGCAAGCTCCCAAACACCGCCACATCTCATCACCTGCAGGAGTGACCCGCACCTCCACACGCTCCACTTCCCACTCTCCTCTATACACTCTGAAAGAGAATGTACATCAATTTAAACAATATCCCCCTTTACTTTCTCCACCAATTGTAATTGATTAGCCAAGACATGTTTAGTGTCTGCAGTTTGTTTCTTTAGTTCTGCACTGGAGCTACGAGTGGGCTTGAGCTGATTGGCGATAGTGTCGTCAATCGCCGATAGTTTCCAACTGTCTTGATTGTCAATCGTGTCAATGATTTAAGTGTCTGAAAACGCAGCATCTGCGGCATTAAGATTCCCAAAAATAATCACATTTGTCTTGCGACCTTTTTTTATTTAATGTAATGATATTTGTCCATGTCCTGAATCAGCCCTGACTTGTCCTCTGGCTCTAGAACATTCTCTAGCATTGTCCTTACCTGTGGTCACACTTGTTTAACTGATAAAGCCGTGCTGCAGCCTTCCACACATGGAATGGCTTCTCTCACCAAAAATGAAAGGGGGCTTAGAAGGTTTTTAGGATTTGATTACATCAGTTATTAAAAACAAGAAAGACGTGGAGCAACCGTCTAAGCGTCAGCCCTGTCATCAGGAAATCGCGAGTTTGAATCCTGGTGATGCTACAGCCGTCCGTGGCCGGGAGTCCAAGAGAGCACAATTGTCCTCGCTCTCTCTGGGTGGGTAGGATGGCCCCCCATCTCCCCCATCACTCAGCGCAATGCTGGTCAGCGCAGGTGTCTGTTAGCTGGCGTAACAGATCTGGCGGTTAGTGTTCTCCTCCAAGCGTGTTCAGCTGTCCAGTGACACTGCGTTAGCGGCAGTTCAAAAAGATGCGGTGGTGCTTTACAGGACTCGGAGGAAGCCTGTGCTAGCATTCACCCTCCTAGCGCTGGTAGTATTGTGTGATTGGGAGAGTCCTAACTAGTGAGTGGAATTGGATACGTCTAAATTAGGGAAAAAATTGGAAAAAAACAAGAAAGACAACAAATAGCTACAGCTACCTTTAGGCTACTTCACAGACAAACTTTAACCATTTTACTATTCTAACAAGGCGATTTATAGACTGCAAACACGCAATTTATTAAACCTATAATTAAAACTGCGAAACCATATCGAAAACTACTAAACCACCCCAGAACATCGTCACTGCTCACTGCTGGGATATAAGCTTCCATTGCTTGTTAGCTACGTTAGCCTCGTAGCTCCAGTGCAAAACTAAAGCAACTAACTTCAGATACCAAGCAAGATATCAGCAACTGATCAGCTTATTCAGGATAAGGATGGGGGGTGTGAATTTAACGGGCCCACGTCCTACATTTGTATGTTATCCTTTCTGTTGAAATCTAATTGGAACGGTTGTGCAGTTTTATGCACCAAAAATTAGTCATACTTTTTTTTTTTAACATGGCCATTTTCCAAACTCTCTTTATCCCTTAAAATTCAATTTTTGTTTCTGTGCCTTTAAGACCAACATATGTAAATGAGCTCATTCAAAAATCTCCATGTAACATCAGTTTGAGTGTAAATGTGTTGGTTTCCATGACATCACAAAAACAGGCTGTTTGCGGCTTAGTAATCATATAAGGACTCTCGACTGAATGGTACATTTAGAAACATTTTCTAAGCCGCTTATCCTCCTGGGCCATGGAGGCGGCTGGAGCCTATCCCAGTGCTCATTGGGCGGAAGACGGGAAACACCCTGGACAGGTCACCAGTCCATCACAGGGCAGACACACAGACATACACATTCACACCTAGGAGCAAATTAATATCTCCAGTTCGCCTGGCTGCATGTCCACGCAGACATGGGGAGACATAGAAAGGACGCCGGTTGCTCGTCTGGGGAATCGAACCCAGGCCCTTCAGTTTTGCATGATACAGTCTCTTTAATATTCCCCCAAACTCCTGATTCTACCTATAGAGTCACACAAGTGCTGCGCTAACTCACTGATATACTTGAATTATGTTGTGTGCAGCTACACATTTCCACCAGACTGACCTCCAGAACTAGGAGTCTTACGATTACATGCTTGACATTTGCATATCGCTGTTGTTGGAAGAAAACCTAGTATCTCCAAAATGCTAACTTTACAGGAGAAGGAAAAAACCTCCTTTACTTTTAATGTAAGTCAATGGAACCAGAATTTTTTCCAAGTAATTTTGGGCCGTTTCTTTTGGTCCATTCTTCATGAAATTTGCACACGATGTAAAGTGCTACAGTTTTTTTGAAATTATGTCAAAAACTGAAAAACAAAATAAAGATACCAGGTTTTCTTCCGACATTTGTATATGCAAAGATGTTTTTAATTGTTAGGTCATTTTAAGCTGCCAACAAGCTCTCAAAATATCACTGCTGTCGGAAGAAAACCTCGTATCTCCAAAATGCTAACTTTACAGGAGAAGGAAAAAACCTACTTTACTTTTAATGTAAGTCAATGGAAGCAGAATTTTTTACAAGACGTTTTGGGTCATTACTTTTAGTCCATTCAGCATGAAATTTATATACAGTGTAAAGGGCAGCAGGCATTTTCAAATTATGTCAAAAACTGAAAAACAACAAAAATGGAAATACAAGGTTTTCTTCCGACAACAGCGATATGTGGATGTTCTTTGTCCTGTTGAAAAGGCATCTCAGGTGACTTCACAGAACGCCAAGCGTGTGTAAACAAATCTTAAATAGATTTGTTTTAACACTTTTTGGACGCCACAAAAGTCCATATGTTACATTACACAGTCTTCACTGTAATTCACTGCATTCTAAAATGTGAAAAATAGTGAACATAAAGAGAAACAGTTCTGTGTGTAGGTGAGTCCACTGTTGACCGTTACTGTATATATGTTGAGTAAAAGAGTAAAAGTGTATGTAAACTGACTGTATTTAAGTCTTATTAATGCTGTATTAGCGTTTCTGTGTACTTGATGTGTCTATAATGTGTAATAAATTGTATATTAAAGTGTGTGTGTGAGTTACACTCTGCTGTTGTTGCTGCTGTGAGGAGTTTTATACAGACTCTCCAGTTACAGATGCTTTCAGGAACACGCCTCAACACGCAGCTACGCACCCTGGACCCACAGAGTGAGGTGTGTGTTGTTTGTAGTCAGTAATGAATCCACACTTCACACTAAACCTGGCTGATTACACATCTGCCTGAAATTCTCCCTGGAGTGTGTGGATCATGAACAGCTCATTAAACTTTGTTTTATTTTTGTTTTGCTGCTTTGTAGCGTCTGGTGCTACAGCCTCTGTTATCTAGGATAACACGTTTCCTATTGGTTCCTCTTCCTGTTCGTATTGGTGCATATTATGTTGGTTAATCTGGGCTTGTCTGATTATCTTTTATACAAATCAGCTTGGGAATTTATCTATCCATGGTGTCTGTCTGTCTGTCTATCTGTCTCTCTGCCTGCCTCTCTGCCGGCCTGTCTCTCTCTTTCTCTCCCCGCCCCCCTCTTTCTCTCTCTCTCTATTCTGTCTGTCTTCCTGTCTGTCTCTCTGTCTCTCTTTCTTTCTTTCTTTCTTTCTCTCTCTTAGTTCACTTATTTATTTTCAGTTTTAAATAGCTTTGAATGCAATTAACAACTGTTGCCAAGGCGATGAGGAAGAGATTATTTAAAAAGTGGTAATAATAATTAAAATAATACACATATACATACATGCACACATACGCTTACATATATATATATATATATAACATTCTGACCACCTCCTTGTTTCTACGCTCATTGTCCATTTTATCAGCTCCACTTACTATATAGGTGCACTTTGTAGTTCTACAGTTACAGACTGTAGTCCATCTGTTTCTCTGATACTTTGTTAGCCCCCTTTTACCCTGTTCTTCAGTGGTCAGGACCCCCATGGACCCTCACAGAGCAGGTACTATTTGGGTGGTGGATCATTCTCAGCACTGCAGTAACACTAACGTGGTGGTGGTGTGTTACTGTGTGTTGTGCTGGTCTGAGTGGATCAGACACAGCAGTGTATGTTTGTGTGTATGTATGTATGTATGTGTGTGTGTATGTATATATATATATATATATATATATATATACTGTATGTAGATGTGTATGTAGATGTTTATGTATGCGTGTGTATATACATATATATATATATATATATGCCTGTCTGTCTGTCTGTCTCTCTCTCTTAGCGTGCGTCTGTCTGTCTGTGTCTCTGGCTTGACTGGAATAATATACCTAAAAATAAAGGTATACCTTAAAAAACCGCATTGAAACCACTCAGCTGAAAGGTGTAAAGAAACAAAACATGGTTCTTGTACAGAATCACTCAAAAGAACCCTGTTTGTCACGTTTATATTTAAGATGTTCCCAGTTTTTGTTTCCTCAGGTGGTCTGAAACTGCGCTGAAGTGTCTGAATACCTCCGACACTAACGGTTCCTCTGTCCTCTGTTTCTCTGTTCACGGTTCTCTAGAGAGAGATGAAGTGTTTATTGCTGCTGAAGTAAAGATGTGTTTCCAGCTCAGATGCGGTGTGTCTGTAATCTCTGATCTCTGAATGTGTCTCAGAGACAGAGCGGATTTCTGCTGATGCTGCTGAGACCCACTAACCCACTTTCCCTCTGACTGAGTGACATCATGATGGAAAATCCAGAACTAGCAGCAGACTGGAGGCCATGAATCACCTCCATACCTCCTCTTTCCCTCGATCCCAAATGCAGTCAGTCAGGAAAGATGTTCAATGACTGAACACGAAAGACTTTATCATGTGGTTTCTGACACTGTTTTAAACACCGTCATCTATAAACATGGACTCAATGTTACATTGCTGAAACAGGAGCAGCCGTCTAGAAGTTCGCCTGAACTTTAGCCAATATGCATAGAAAACAGTGTCATACAGTGTCAGAAACGACATAATCAAGTCTGTTAGAGACACTGAACACCTCCACACAGTGTCATTGCTATGGTATCCCAGGTGGTTGCTAAGGTGTTGCTTGACCATTGCTATGGAATCCCAGGCGGTTGCTAAGGTGTTGCTTTACCATTGCTATGG